AGAAGGGAACTGAAAACAAAACCGAGAATATCACCATGCCATTACAGAAATCCATGGTGTGCCTGCATCGTAGATACTGTGAACAGTTTTAGTATGTACATCTCAAAAAGGATGTAGTAAAATTAAGAAAGGTAAAGAGAAGCAGAGAAGAGCAATCAAAATAATCAGGGCCTGGCACAGTTGCCATACTAAGAGAGACTAAAAAGAGTAGGAACTCTTCATTTTGGAAAGGCAAAGGCTGAGAGGGAATATGATAGAGGTCTATTAAATCATGAAAGGTGTGGACCTAAAGAACGGAGAACCATTATGCACTGAGTCCTGGAATATTATAAATATGGGAACACTGAAACGACTAGGAGACAAGTTTAAAACTAACAAGAGGAAGTACTTTTTAATGCAACAGTTTTAAACTTGTGGAATTCACTGCCACAGGAACTGGTAGAGGTATGGCCAGTTTCAAAAAGGGGCTAGAAAAAATCATGGATCATAAACCTATTAATATTCATTGGAGAGAATAGCTAGAGATGATTCCTCTGGAATCTCTAAACCAATAATGGTGGATGCCAGGGAGCATGATGAATGACCTTCATGGCCACCTGAAGACGAATATCTTGCATTAGAAAGCCTGTCTAACTCTATTTCAATTATGCAGTTAGTCCAATGAAAAATAACATCGCAAAAAATCCTCTTGCATAATTCCTGGACCATCAGAGTTACAACATTACTCTGGCTAAGTACAGACAGTCAAAAAGCCCATGGCTGAATTGATTCAGTCTTTGCAGGTTAATCTAAACTGCACAGATTAAACTGAAGCAGAAGTGAACAGACATCTACCTTTGATTCAGGAAATGCTGCCACATGCCTGCAGTGGCTCAGGCCAGAAGCCAGGGGTGGGGGCAGTGCGCTAGAGCATGGTCCGCTGGCCATGTGTTCACTTTGGGATTTGCAGTCCAGAATTACAGTCCAGCAGAAGTTTTCAAACTTTTTTAGTAAATGTACTCCCAGCAGCTTGATGCAGAGCGGGGGGGTGGGGGTGGGATATGTGGTTTTGGAGCCTGTGCCCTGGCTGCCCTGTGGCTTATCTCCGCTACTGTGACCACTGCCTCCAGGCTGCCCAGTGGGCTCCAGGCAGCTGCAGCAGGAAGGGGGTTGGGAAGGAGAAACACCCACCCACCCCACACAACCCTGATCCGGGCCTGCAAGCAGCCAGGCTGGCAGTGCTGGGGATTTGGAGAAAGTGGTACTGGGCCACAGCAGGGCTGCCTGGCACCTTCACGCCCCACAGCTTGGGCTTGGGGTGGGTCAGGACCACCTGGGAGCACCGATATGAGCCACTTCCGTACCCACAGGTTGCCATGCATCCCCAGTCAGGGCCTCTGGGGAGCAGCAATGATGGTGCGATTCCCGCAGCTCCCGCCCTGCACTGCCTCACATGCCTGGCCCCAGCCCAGCACTGATGGACCCCAAGCCACACCCAGTGTCACTGCTGCCGAGCCAGGTGGAGCCACTGTTCTCCTCCCTGTACCATCCGGGCTCCTGCTGGGACACAGTGGTCGAGCACCTCTGTGCAGGGTCCAGTGGGAGCCCAGGTGACACAGAGGACAGCGGTGGCTCTGCCCAGCTCAGTGGTGGTGGCACTGGGCACAGCTCAGGTTCTGTCAGCCCTTGGCAGGGGCCAGGTGTGCAGGGCAGCACAAGGTGAGGACTGTGGGAGGCTCTGCAGGAATCCTGCCATTGTCACTGCTCCCAGGGGCCCAGACCAGAGATGCGTGGGGACCTAGAACCTGGAAGCAGCTTGTTTCAGAGCTCCCAGGTGGTTCCTACCCACCCAAAGCCTGCACTGTGGGGACTGAGGGTGCCAGGCAGCCACACCACGGCCTAGCACCACCTTCCCTGAGCCCGTAGTGCTGCCAGCCTGGCTGCTTGGGGCCCCGTATGGGGGTTGTTTGAGGTTTCCTTTTGCAGCTTCCCAGAGCCTGCATCTCACTGGGACCTGCACAGAGCGGGTGAACAAGTAAGCGGGGATGTTTGGGCCTGGGCCAGGGCCAGAGCACCTGCCCCTAGCTTGGGGTGCCAGTGGTTGCCACTGCTGGAGTAAGAGCGGGGTGAGCTCGCCACTGCTGGGGCTGTGCTTGGGTGGGATGTATGTCCTGGGCCCAGGGCAGGTCCATGGAGACCTCACTCAAATTGGGCATCCTGCCAGGGTATGTGGGGACCCCTCTCCCTGGGCTCCAGACCCCATACACACACCCACAGTCCCCACACCTTCACAACCTCCACCCCATATACACACGCACATTCCACACCCATCCCCCAACCATACAAAATACCTGCATAATTTTGAGTTTTTCTGTGCATAATTTTGAGTTTTCAGCTGTGTGATTAAAATCGTGATTAACTGCAACTAATATTTTAAATTGTGCAATTAATCACGACTAAGTTTTTAAATTTTTTAACAGCCCTACTATATTAAATTTCAATTTTCATTATAAACATCATTATCAATGTGTGTCAGCTGTAAAAGGATTCATCCAATCAGGAAATAAGATACTTTCAAGTTTCATATTAGGTGTTTCAAACAAGAAGGGGAAAAAGAAATTAACCAAAATCTACTTAAATTTTCACCTAAGGAGATAAAAGTTACTTCAACAGCAAACTTTGGACCCAATCCTTCAAGTTCTAAGCTTTGCATCTCCTAATGCCCTCCACGGTGATCAAGGATCTTTAGGACTTGCAGGTTTACTCACTAAAGCTGCTGACAGATGTGGAAAAAAAAAAATTAAAACCCAAAAATGCGCTTTACCAGAAGCAGCAGCAGATTAGTTAGACCTGGCTCTGCAGCATCTGTATAGCTTGGGTGTTTCAGCAGGGCCTTTTGGTGCTTTTATCTAATAGCTGACTGAATATTAGATAAAAGCCCCACTAAAGCACCCAATCTATACAGATATTGGGCGAGCTGGGCCCAACTAATGCAATGCCTCTTCTGAGCATGTGTGGGGGCACATGGAGTTTAAAGTGCAAGGTTTTGGGGGTTGTTTTTTTTAGTCTGTAAGCAACCTAAGTGCTAATCTATATTGCTGCTTAGCCCTGACTGTAAGACTACCCTCTAGCATAAATCTGCTAACCATCCATATTAAGATATCCCCACTGAGCAATATCTCACTCTTCTCCACGAGCTCCTCCTTAATATCAGGGCTCTCCACTACAGAAATTACCACGATGGGGAGCAAAAAAACATGGGAAATCTGCCCACACCTGTTTTCCAGCTTTTTGGTACCTTACTTCCAGTTTCCAATGTCTATAATCAGAGCCAAGAAGGAGAACAATAATACGCCGGCAGATTCCTGAAATGGATGGAACAGAACTATCTTTGGTCTCTCTTTCTATGCATAGAACTAGCACTAGTAACTGCTAGTCCACACAGTTCAGGCCCATTAAGAAAACTCTCAGGATCAATCCTGAATAGCAAGAGAGATACACCCCAAGAAATTAAGATCAGTGCAGATTCACATACCTTTTAAAAAAGTATGCCAGCTAAGCTTCATTAGCTATACTTAAGTGCTGACAGCTACCACAATATATGGTCAACCCATTTTTCTTAAAGCTTAAAATATAATGTGGCCCAGTTTGGGGCAATGCTTTGTTGCACTGCTCCTAGAGCAGCGTAAGAACAAGCCTGTGACTTGAGTCAGAATATTTCTATATTGGCTCAGTACGACACCATCAAATATCATACTGAGGGATTCTGTGCCTATACCATGTATGCTCCCAAAGCAGAAGTAACTGTCTTAAGGCAGAGTTGGGTGCTCTTCTAAGACTCAGAACCTATGGGTGTATATCCAGTACTACACTAAGGTGGCTCCATTACTTTCAGTTTGGGCTGGATATGGCATGTATGGTGCTACAGGAAGCCATACTACAGCAGTATAGATAGAATTTCAGTGATTCTCCTGGTGTCTGTATAGTGCTAGAGAGCAACTCAACCTAGGTCTTTCTCCAGCACAAGTTATGCTCTTCTAGCATAATGGCAAGGGAACAGCCTAGGCTTTCCCTGCTCTATATTCTGCTATTCTCTGTCTTGCCACTGCTCACATAAGAGATGAAAGGATGTAGTGATTCTATGGAATCTGCTTCACCTTGTACGCAGTTACCTTTGATTCAGACACTTGGTGATGTAAATGGGTCTCTTTTGTCTTGTGCCCATGAAACCACTAGGCCTGATCCTAAAGTATTCCTTTACTTTGACATTTCCAAAAGAGGAATCTCCTCCTTTGGACTCAATCAAGCATTAGAATTACTGTGGGTCATATGAATTCCTTCTCAAGTCAAACCCTCCTTTTAAAATAAATATTTAAAGTGCTTTTTTAAAATAGCAAGATTCTGACTTTTTTGTTTCCTGCACTATCTGGTCATAAAAATCAGGAGATAATTGAACATAGCAGTTATAACGGCTGCCATTAAAAAGTCCAGTACTTATCCACTGATATCATAGCTAAGTCCTGGTCTAAATCTAGGCAACTGCTACAGACCAAAACTACCATTGTGTGTGGTATTATGGGCAAATGCTGACTTTTTACTAATTATCACTGTACTCTGATACACACCAATTAGTCACCTTACTTGGAAGGCATGTAAAACCAAGGAACTTAATTACAATAAAATCCGGAGTTAAATCATTCTTCATTGAGGTGGGAAAAATCATGACAAACATCCTATCCCTGAGATCTTCCTGCTAGAATAAGACACAGAATAGGAGGTGCTTACATAGTAAACATAAGTAAAATGCTCAGAAACAGGAAAGAATGAGTTAGGACACATGAAGAAAACAACAACAATGTAATAACGTTTCAGAAGACTATATTCAATTATCCTTATGTTTTTGTAAAGATTTGTCCTCCTAAAAACCTTGCTGTTTGATCCGTCTCCAATGAACAGACGCAAAAAAAAGAAAAAAGAAAAAAAAGAGGAGGACATGTAAGAAGAAAATAATTAAACCTTACTTTGCAGTAGTTTCTTCATCGTATTTTGTTTTCAGGTCAAAAAGGTCTGCCTGGGATTTTTCCAAAGCTAAAAGGCATAAGAAACATTATAGGTACTGTAAGAGCTGTGCAATACAAACAGATTACTCTTTTTTTTGACTGTGAATAGATTTCTGTTTAAGAATCATCTTACAACAAGATTATACTTGACCAAATAAATGACTTAGAAAAGCAAACTTGTTTTTAACCTTCTTATTTTAAATTGTAGAAGTTCCCAGTTACCATTCTGCTAATGAAGCCAGTTATTACTCATTTCAGATGGAAGCTGCTTAAATTGCTCACTCAACTAAAATATTTATTCCAGTCAATTCAGGGATTCAATTTTTGTTTTCTTATGGGAAAAGAACCCAAATATGCTCACACCTGGCAAATGCAGGTGTATAAGGATGAACAGTAAAATAAACGGCTGATGTGAACTAGCAAGAAACATCAGCAAAAATAAGATTCCTATTGAAACCACCATATATTATAGTCCAGACCAGAAGTATGTGAAAATCACAGTGAATACAATGTGGAAGTGGTCAACGGTTTCATGGCCTGTTTCAGTTCCTGGGGCATTTTTCAATAATTTATCTACTCTGCCACAGGCCAGGCCCACTTCCTCTGCTAGGAATTGGTTGTGTCACAAGTGTGCAGTTCCAGTAGGCAGCCCAGCAGAAAGTCTGATCTACAAGATATTTTCCTTCCATCGTAAAACAGACTTGTAAGATCTGATTCACACTCATTTGTGATCCATTTAATTGTATCCTTGCCCCAACCCCCATGCTCTTCATTGGTATAGATCAGAATAGTATTGTCAAACCTGTCTGCAAAGATTGAACTTTCTGTTCAGCCTCCTCCAGCTTTGAGGCTGTCGACATCTGTGTCTCTTGCAACTTTCTAAAAACAGAAAAGGAAGAGTTGAAAATGGAGCTAGTAATCGTGTTTAACAATTTAATTGTGTTTTGCAAGTTTGGAAGATGGAGCCATTAACTGTCTCAACTGTAATCAGGCAACTGACAACACCGCACACAATACAAAGTACCTCAACAGAATCTGTAAATCATGTCACACTGGCATGCTGTACGTATTTTGGAGTCCCACTTATTAAAATTTTAACACTGTAGCCAGTTCATAATGTAACATTATACAAGAGCTGACTGCTAAATAAATGACAACTTTAGTGGAAGGTTTTCCTGAGCATAATTTGTTTTGGAAATGTCACACATTAAGAAAATTGTCACCATGCACCCGTTGTTTCACAAAGTTAGTACAAGAAGAATGATACATTTCTATTTTACTGTCATAATGAAGGAATTTGTTGCAATAAATGATATACTGAATAGATGTGACAGCTGTTTTATCATAGTTGTAACAGATTCCAAATGCAACCGTAGTATTAACCACCCTCTAGAAGAGCTATGCATATTTCAAAACAAGTTTAACATTGTTACTTCCTATATAACATGATCAGAATTTCCAGTATGCTCATATTTCTTACGTCTATAAGGAATATTTCCTTGGTTGTGCCACTTACAGCACACGCTTTCATCTGGCCATACAGTCACCAGACTATTTGCTAAAGGCTAGACTTGAGGAGTTAAAGCCAATCCTAGAAATGGAGTTGCTGTGACATCCCTCTGGAGACTTTCAGCCATTGTGCAGATTTTAAATAGTCATGATGGTGCATAAAGCTCCCATTCTAAATGTCACTATATGGGGCATGTTTTAAAGAAAGGTGTACAAAAAAAAAGAACAAACAGTGTTTTCCAACAGTAACAATGGCTTCTAGGCACTACTTTGGGCATATACAGATTCTCTGATACTGTAAAGTTTCAAACTTGCTAACAGGCATTTATGGGAAAAAGTATGAGTCAAAGCTCTCTTTTTACATCAAATTTATATAAATTTTATGGTGCATTCTGAAAACCCTTACACACACTATTCTGTAACACACATTCCATTAAACTGTCTTTTGATTAAACATGTATCTAAACTATATTTGATAGACAAAGAATAACAGTGAAATACTGATTTTGAAAGGGATCTTCCAGTTCACCAGTTGATTCATCCTACTCAAACTTAATTCAAATAACCAACCCAACCCATCCAAGTCTCTAAGGAAAAATTATAAGCCTTGAAGTGTGAACTGGAATTAACAGATCGGGCAACATTGAATGAGAGGGGAAAACAAGTTCTTGAGTTTGGGGGAAGGGGGTGTTTGTTGTTTTAGCATATGCAGTTTCTTGAGTTGAAGGCCATGCACTGAAAACTCCCCGTTAACAACCCCTTTCTATAACATTTAGCCAAACTTTCTTATCTACTGATCTAAATGATAGACAAGGTCTTGGCATTTTATTTTGCTAGCTTGTGAAAAATCAGGAATGCTTCTAGGGCTTCCTTAAAAATCAATTAGTAAGTGAGAAATTAAGTTACAGGGTTTTGTGACATAAGGGAACATGCAAATTATATCAGGATCAAGCTCCTGTGAGGCACAGAGCTTCCTTTCAGATACCTATTTCCATTTAAGTAGCTATCCACAACTATAATCTATATCAGAGATTCTCAACTAGGTGCCTGCCTTGAGATCCTTTCAGGGGGCCTACTGACTGCCATGCAATGTTAGCACTGTCAGGCATGCAAATTTCACAAGTCAGAGATTTCAAAAGGAATCTATAGTGTTAAAAACATTATGACCTCTTGTGGTCTTTAAGTTCTTTACAAGAGGAAAAATTGCTCTATCATCTTTCTATAGTAAAAAATTAAGTGAAAACTAAAAGCTGACTTTTTCCAAGGGTTCTTTGAATCTAACAAGGGGTACCTTGAGTCTAAAACCTTGAGAACTATATCTGTGGGTACGATATTTCAGTTTACATTGCCATGTTGTACTAATTTACATGTAACATGGTACTGCGACACACACAACAGACAAGACTAAATTACACTGTCAGCTAATGGAGAAAGATTAGTGTCACAAAGGACAATCCAACTAATGAAGAATAAAAGCAGGTTTGCACCCTCCTGAAAATGATACCCCATGTCCACCACTGGTACAATGAAATAAGAATCTGTCCTTGTTTCACATATACATTTCACAACTGTCATTCTGTGTAAAGTTGAGTATCAAATGATTCTGCATCAAACACATAAATCACTAGAATGATTCAATATATGAGCTGTCTTACTACTGAAGAAAGGATCCTGGTTGGGAAGATTAAGCAGAACAATATGATTTCTCTCCTAACACCTACACAGACACATGCATGCACTCACCTCTCCTTCTCTGCAAAGTCATTTTGTAACTTTTGTTCTTTTTCAAGAGCTATATTCTCTGCTTGGTTCTTCAGAGTCTGTTCATATTCTCGGATTTTCTCTTTAAGTGCTTTTATTGTAACCTCTACAGAAAAAAAAAAATAGGGAAAGAAAGAGTTTACACAGCTTCACGTGGCTACAGAATACAAGGCTTTCTTTACCCCGTAGGCTCCATGTGTTTTAAACTTTAGCTCTTCAACTATGACACAAAATCAATGGATACCAGTCCCTTTGGAGACCTTTTACTCCCTAAATGTTAAATTGAACTTTAAACGTTTAGGTTGAGAAGGATCAATGGATTTTGCTGGGAAGCAGAGCTAGGGTTTCTCTAACATGACCAAAAAAAATTGTAAAATATAATATCACATTATTGACTAGTTTCAAATTAGCTCTCTGCTGAGTGGAGATTAATAAAGTCCCAAAGTGGGCTTAAGTACACATTTACACATAACAGTTAATTCATGTAGCTGTGCTCATGTAAAAAGAAACAATTTCACTTAAGCTCATGTACAGACACCTTCTTACACTAACTGAACACATATCTGGGATATAGCTATGTTCTCCTTCGCAACAGATGAAACACATGGGCAGACTTAACTGTTGTATTAAGGGTAGACCAGATCAACAGACAAGGTGGCACTCTTTGTATTCCAACTATAGTAACTGCTACTGTCATAGTCTGACTCCACCCAGATCTAAAGCAAGAATGCCTAATGGGCTTACAATAATAAAGCAAGAGGTGGACTAGGATTTTGTGGGCTTTGCAATAAAAACAATTTCTGGAAAGGAGTCAGAATGATAGAAGATAAAGAAGACAATACCATGTTGTAGTCGAGGAGAGATGCAACTAGTCAAGAAATCATGAAGGAGAAAAATATCACTACATCCAAAAAAAAGTCCATAAGCAAGAAAAAGACAAAATACCACGGTAAATATTTTCAACATCAGAACCCAGAGCATAAATCAGGCATAAAATCAGTCAATGGAACTATACTGTTATACATCCAGAGTAAGTGAGAACAGAATCATGCCTTTGGTTTAAGAAATATAGAGGTCCTCAGTAGACCTGTGCAAAGCAGCTAGTATTTGCTTTGGATTTGGATTTGGCTGATTCCGGGGACAGACAGTTTTGATCCAGTGTTTTGAATCACTGTCCCAAATTGATTCACCCAAATCTGATTCTTCCAGCGCCTTCAATGGCTGCCCCACCCGGCCCAGCTTCTAGCTCTTAAAAAAAGAAGCCCTGCACTCACTGGCTACTACAGCAGCCATTGGGGCCTCTGGGGGCTCATGGCAGAGCCCCCCACCCATGCAGTAGGGAT